GTGGATTCATGTTTCTTTTCTGACATCTGTGTCTCATGCTACAGTGTCATAAACTGTGTTCGGGTTTGGCTGTGCACATCAGAAAGACACATTAAATCACCCTCTTTTCCACTAAGTCCCCAACTTCCTTATTGAGGAAAGCACGAAAGAAATAGCATCACTTCTCTTGCACTGGCTGTAGCATTTTTACCTTGTGTCATGTCAGAACAGATGTCGTTCAGGTCCCTAAAAGCAGGTATTTCTGTGTCTGGAGACAAAGGGGAACATCTTGTTTTCAAGTGTGAGTCTTGGGCTGTGCACACAGGTGAAAATGAGTTGAAATGAGCGAATGTATACACACACACACACAATGTCTCTTCTTTGTTCCTGGGGTGGAGTTCTGTATCCTCATCATCAGCTGTTTAGTCCTCTAAGGTGTTTTTATGGTAATCCTGTTTTCCCCACAACCATAGAATAGGTGTGCTAAAACCAGAGTAAATGCTTTCAACAGCTCTTTAAAGGACACTTGAAACACTTCTTACCTTTTTTTGTCCTGTATAAATAGCTTTTCTCATTTCCAAAAAGTTACTGAAGGTAACCAGGATCGCTTCTGTAACTAACAGGGGTTTTCTTATTCAGGTGCTGTGGTAGGTTAGGCTATCGTGCCTCAACAGGGAGTATGTTAATATAATCCTTCAGAAAGTTTTTGCGAACACATCCTCCACATCCCTAATTATGTAATTTAAAAGTATAAGCATTTAAAATCCTTCTAAATACATATTTAAATCCTAAAGGATCTGCTTAGACTGGAGTATTACATTACACAGAAAGCTCAGAAATTACTAGGGCCTGATACGTTACAACAATTATGAACATGTTCTCTTTATTAAGTGAGTATCAGTAGGTACTGTGAGTATTGCACCTTGTACTTAAATTTAAAAAGCTTTAATATACTTGTAAACTGTATTTCGGGCTAGCAGACAAGCCAGACGAAACACAAGGGGAAAAAGAGTAGGACATGCAAGGCAAAGACCAGGAACCAAGAGAGACAAAAAGTACTGAGTCAGTTAGCTCAGTGTGAATCCAGTATCTGCTGTTCAGTAGTAGCCTGGCACAGACACCCAAAATACCATAAAGGAACCATGGCATTTTTCCAGCAGATTTTCCCAGGAAATATGTCACTTTGGCCGAAGTGAACATGCACTACTACTCTTTACTTCAACAGGGTAAACATGCTCATGAACAGCAGTATTTTTATGTGACTATAGCTGCTCTTTTAACTCTCTGAACAAAGACCTGAATTTTGGGAACTAAAGGTTATGAATTCAAATTGCAGTTTCCAGTTGCAGACATGTGTGTACCTTTTGCTGGAAACAATGCTGTCTGTACGTATACAACCATGGATCATTGCAGCAGCACAAGTCAATTAGCCTTTGTGACACTCCATCATCCTGTGAAATAATTTTATGAATACTTCAGGGGATGTTGTCAGAAGGACAGCACTGAGAACTACAGGACACGAAAGGCTAGAAAAATAACCACCTTTGCCATAGGTTTCCAAACACTTCTGTGTTTACAGACACCTGAACTCTGCATTTCTTTGGTCTCTCTTGGGAAATACAAAGGATAACAATTAACCTTTGCTTACTATAAATCACAAAAAGCAATAGGACAGTCTCTAAGGTGGCCAGTTGAGTTTTCCACTGGTGTCTGCAATGATAGACATGTCATGGATGTCAAGATCAGTAGAGCTGAGCCTGCTAATTAAATTGTATTTTTATAAGAACATTTTGATTTTAAAGGCAACATAGATGGTAGTCCTCAGCTTTGATTTGCAATGTAGGAATCAGAGGGGTAAGATAAAACTCCAGTAATTCTTCAGTAGTTCCATTTCACGGGAAGCTATTCTGTGAAATAACAAAAGCCTGCAGGTGGTTGTTCTCTGTCACCACCAAATTATTATTAGCTTTCTTTTTTTTATTTTTACATTTTAAATTTCTACCAACTCCCAGAAAATCTAAATCAATCTCTCTTCAGAAATACTGAAATTTTGTAACCTTTGGTTTCTGGTTGGTGCTTTTTAATTGCTTAATTTGCCAGCTTCAAATTAAATAGGCCTTTCCTCTGTGTTTTGTTTGGTTTGGGGGTTTTTGCCTTTTGGAAGGGAAAAGGTGTGCATGAGGAAAACTTTTTATTTTCTTTTTAATACTACTTGAAAGTTGAAGAAATAACAGGTTCTCAGTTTCTAGTGTTAAAATTTGTGGGTTGAGTTTTTCTCTAATGAAAACATAAGATTTTTTTTAACGTCTGTGTTTTGTTTGTTTGTTTAGGTATTTCTTAGCTTTTCTCCCCACTAGAGAAGCATGAAAAAGCTACTTTTCTGAATAAAAACAAGTGCAAGTAAAAGAAAGTAACACTTTTTTCTTCAATTATCCCTCCTGCCCAATTCTGAAATATTAAAGAATGTTTTCATTTTGCTGAAAGTTTACAGAAAATTACAGTGATCTTTCTTCCACTCCATCAACTGTGCTTTCCTTCCCTTTTCAATGTTTTTCACTGAAGACTCTATATGTAATATTGCATAGTGTTAGGAGGTGAAATTAATGTAGAGATTAAGTGTTAGACATGTAGGAGGCTTCATGGGAGGCAACAGATGAGAGTAGAAATAGAAAAAAAGAAAATCATTGAGGGGAAGAGCTAAAGATCTAATTGTTTTATTACTGTTTGACATGCCTTGCAAAGAAATTGAGACAAAAAATGTAGGATTAAAATTATTTGAAAATTTATGCTAAATACAAAAAAGACCTTTGGCCTGGTTCTTGCTTACTGGTTGACTGCATATTCCTTGACTAGCTTAATTTCTTGACACTGCTGAAGCAGACTGTGATGTTTAATCAGGGCCCACGTTTCCAACACCTTCGTTACTTTTCACAGGGAAGTATTACTACTACCTCTTCAGCTTTTAAAAGTTTACTTAACCAAAGGCAAACCATAGGTCTTCTGTGCTACACATATGCCACAGTCTAACCATGAATTAAAAACAAGTCATTCTCATTAAGCACCTAGTATTGTACAAGTTTTGATAATGGATTATACACAGGGACAAGCAAGGTAATTACTCTACTTGACAGTCCTGTGCAAGCTTCATTTGCAAGGTTTAGCTCAGCTGTGGGCATCAGGTTTGAAAATTACTTTGGTATGTTGGAAAGAGTTCAGCTGACAGCAACAAGAATACCAAATTGTTGAAAAATTATACCTATAAAGAGAAGTTAAGAAATTTTGGCATGATCTGGCTAGAAAAAACAAGAGTGAAGGGAGACAGTATAATAGTTTTAAAAATAACTAAAAAGGGACGTGATAGGGAAAAGAGGGCTCAGTCTTACCAATGAAGAATAGGATAAATCTAGTCTAAACTGTAGATTTAGGTGAGATATAGCTGGTATGTTACAGCTAGCTCTGTCTGAGGGTTGTGACAGGGAAAACCAGATAGCAGGTTGGACGTTGGGGTGAGGACTTTGTGGTGGCAGACAGTCACCTTCTGACTTTTGACTCAAGATGGTGAAGGAATACACCAGGAAGTCAGCTTGAGGGGCAGAAGAACAACACTCATGCAATGGGGTTTTTGGGCTGGTACCCCAAAGTTGTCCCTATACAGCAAAATATGATTATCTGATTTTCCTTCTGAATCCACAGGAGACAGGGGCAGTTTCATCAAGGCTGGCAGGTACAGTTTGACTCTGGCACAATTTTATTCCTCTAGGACTAGAAGACATTGTCAAGGGAGTGGAAACCGGTGCTTTAGGTATGGGCAAGGTGAGGTTTGATATCTCTCTAGTAAGAAGAGTTTAGATATAATGCAAGCAAGTGTTCCTTGCAGAAGAATGAAAGTAACCTACTAATAATCCTGTGTCACAGTATTGATTCGATTCTTATATTTTCAGTGCTTTGAAGCTGCTATGGTCTGTTGGTTCATTAAGTTACATTTACAGGTTGTCCCTAAACACTGGCTTTTACATAGTCTACATTTTAACACTCTTTAAGTGCATATCGATATGTTCCGTCCTCTGTGCAAACCACAGTTAAAGCAATCCTATTTCTGCAATGGCTAATGAGGTACCAGAATGGTAAAATAAACAGAAGGAATTATACAGTGTCACAAAGCTTGACCAAAGAAGCGTCACCTTCAGAGAAGCAGCAACTGAGAAATGACCTTTCACTTTATTACAGTGTGCCAAATTTGGCTGGATTTAGAAAAGAACCTAGAATTACTGATTATCTAAAAGTGTATACTCTTATTTGTGAGGAAGCTGAATAAAGTTGGGGCTTATATCATAGAAACATATGTTATGAAAGATATGACAAGTATCATGACTGAAATTACTGTTGAATTATGCAATTAGATTCTATTAACTATATATATTATTAAGGATTTTTCATCAGAGAGGTAAAGATGTCAGAGTTCTGGTGATCGTACTGACCTCTTGTGCCACTGGGAAAGATGTAGAGAGGCTTCCAAAAGAGCAATATAGTTCCTATTTAATCTTTAAATAAGAAAAAAGGCCAAGGAACCACAGCTGCTGTTTTTTTTTTTTCTCAAGTCTTCACCAAGGAGACATCCCATTTTAATGTGCATTTCCTTAAATTTATACCTTCTAGTAAAATATAAATAACTGAAACATTACATACTTTAGAATGAACTTTACACTGTACTTATAGCAGAACTTACAAAGTGTAGGATGTGCATGTATATGAATCCTCAAAATCATGTAACTAGCCTCTTGAGGTTTCTCACTTTAAGTCACTTTGTTGCCGGTACAAAATAGAAAAGAAAATTCGCCAAGAGATAAATTAAGATTTCTGAATAGATGTTGTATCCACATGGATATTCACTGTTCATGCCAAAGGGAGAAGAGAAGAGAAGAGAAGAGAAGAGAAGAGAAGAGAAGAGAAGAGAAGAGAAGAGAAGAGAAGAGAAGAGAAGAGAAGAGAAGAAGAAGGAGAAAAGAAAAAAGATGGCAATTTATAATGTAGTTTTATTTTAAAATTAAATTGATAATTAAAGTTAAGTAAATTAAGGCAAGAATGCAAAAAGCAGCTCATGACGGGTAGGGAAAAACTAAGAAGATTGCAAGCACTGGTGAAATTATGTTTTCTTCCTCTCTCCTTGAAGTCCACTAGTTATGCCGCAACTTTGGCAAGAAACCTAATTGTTCCTTAAAATTTTTACTTCCCTTCCAAACTGGAGTGACCCTTTTGGAGTAGGTGCAGCCCAGTTCTTCAAATGGCAGATTGCTCAACAGCAGCCATACCAGAGCTGGTCTTGTATCATCAGCTTGGTCTGGCTCATTTCAATAGGTAGAGCAATACAACCTTACCCTTCTTCAACAACCATTTCTGCAACAAGCAGAAAGCTATATTAAAAGCATGTTCAGTTAGATCCTGGAATTAAGCCTTCAGGATTTAGGAAGTGCCAGTACCAATGCTGCAATGCAACCTTATCTCAGTCCCTTGGGCATGTATGCTTTCCTATAATCTTCAATTGTATGACTGTTATTTTTTACAGTATGATGCAGCAAAGAAACACCACTATTTCAGTGGACACCAGTAGGAGCTCAAGTTCAACTCTGGGCAGTGGTCAGCAGCATACCAAAGTGCACACAGGTACTCTTGCCTATCTTTAACAATCTTCATCTCCTGCTTGTCTCATCCTCTATAAATTGTCCCTGTCAGAGTCTTGTCACTTTTCCATTCATGGCCTCCTTTCTTGTTCTTTTTGCTTAGCGTTAACTCCAGAGGCTTATCTTTATCTCAGTCTCCTTGTCAAACCAGACTAGTTTGTCTTCTGGATCTCATTTCAGAGTCTGCTCTTAAGTCCGCTCACTTGCTTTTCACACACAGGCATGTTTCTCCCATTCCATTCCCCATCTTTCTTTGGATGTAATTTTTAGTTCTCTGTTTTAATTAGACAGATTTCTCTCCCCTGCTGCATGGATTCCTACAAGTTCATTGATGTGACCAGAAAGCTGTTTTCATTCCTGGTATCCAGCAAGCTGAGAGTGGCTATTATAAAGAATGTCTTTTTGAGCTGCCATAGGTGTTGCTGCTGTACTGTGATCATTAGGAGTTGCCTGGTCAGCCCTCTAAGTTAAAGCATGTGGTGAATTTGGAATTTTCTGAGGCTTGAGATGTTTAAATTCTGATAGTTCTCCCTTGCAAATAATGATTTTCTATTCAAGAGCATAGGGATACAGAGTATTTCAAACTAAAATTCTCATTTTGTAATATATTTTTTGCAAGTTTCTTTCTCAGACCTGAACAAGGTAGTCATCTGACACGGAAAATTTCAGCTAAATCACTTAACATTTGATCAAATTACAAGAAGCTGAATATAAAACAAGAGAGCAGAAAGCAATGAAAACATGCTGTTCTGGATTTGGTCTTGAATAAACACAACACTTCATTTAAGAAATAATAGTGGGATAGCTGCAGCCATAATATAATCAGACTTAAAATTATAGTGGGAGGAGGCAAGCTAAATAAATTCAGTACATAGGTTTTCAGTTTAAAGACAGGGAACTAGATAAAAATAAGGCATATTCTCAAACAAACAAACAAACGATCAAACAAAACCCCAAAGCCCTTATAAGGAGCAGTCTGAAAAGCAAGAAACCTGGAAGCACCTTAAAGGCTGTTAAGAAGTTACTGTGTTAGAAGCCTAGATAAAATTTGTGCCATAATTCAAAACAAAGCCAAAACACTCAAAAAATTGCCTGTGTGGCTGAATGTGAAAATGATGTTGTCCATCAAAAGAAAAATGAAGGCTTTTAAGAACTGGAAAGCTTGCTCAAGTGAAAACAGGAAAGCCCATAAAAATGGCAGGTCAATTTCAAACAAGAAATTAAGAAAGCTAGAAAGAATTTGAAGGGAGCCTTGCAAATAGTGCTGAAGAAAATAGTAGAGAATTCCTTGAATAGACCAAAAGCAGGAAGCCAACTGAGGATTAGTGGGACCACACAATAGCCAAGGTGTAGTAGGGGCTGTAGCAGGATGTAGCAGGATGAAGGAAGCTCAATGAACATGTTGAGTTGGTTTTCGCAGCGGAAGCTGTCTGATTCCCAGTTCTGATGTATTCTTTGTAGCATGTAAGTCAGAAAAATAGATCAGTTGGAAGTAAATACACAGGATATATTCGTCCAAATAGACAAGTCAGATGTCAGTAAGTCACTAGGACTGGCTAACATCCACACAAGATTCCTGAAGGATCTCAAATATGAAATTGCAGAACTGCTGGCTGTGATGTGTAATATAGTAACAAAAAGGCATTATATTGGAGGGTGGATACATGGCCATCTACAGAACTGAAAACTTCCATCTACCAAAAGGTCTCTGCGTGGGATTTGGAACTACAGTCCAGTGAGCCTAGTACAATGGTAGAGTACCATTTCTAATAATAGTAATAAGGAAGAGAAGATGGATAAACTTGTCTGTTCAAAGAGTTGGTTTGGCTTCTGTAATGGGAAATCCTGCCTCACTAAGTTGAAGTTCTTTGATGCTGAAAATGAGAATATGGATAAAGGGGATCCATTGGAGAAGATATATTTGGATTTTCAAAATGCGTTTGAGAAGATTCCAAAGAATTAGAACTAGAATTGAATAGTTCCAGGTGGAAAGTGACCTGCATCATTTCAGTTTATGAAGGAAAGTAAATTGCAATAAGACTGGAGTAAAGGCGTTTTTACGGACTGAAAACTGGACAAAGGATGGGAAGGTAAGAGTAGGAGTAATGAGCATTTCTCAGGATGGAGAAGAGTAGGCAGTAAGGTCCCCCAGGAATTGGTCCTGGAACCACTTTCATTCAGTACCTTCATCAAAGACCTGGAGAAGGGAATGAAGAGTGAAATCTTCAAGTTTGTAACTGATTTTGTGTCACGGGTTTTAGTGTAGGTATGAAAAATAATCTAATCCCTACCTACATGTTGTTGAACTCAGAAATGAGGTGCTGAATTCCTGAATTCAGGAAAGAAATCTTTGAGTCACTGTTGTCACTTTGAATTCATGAGCTCCAAGTGCTGTGGCAGAAAAATAACCAAAACCCAAAACCCTAACCAAACCAAAAAACCCATAGCAAGTACTGAGTACAAAAGAGAGATGATATTTTGTCACCACAAAGCTGTGATGCACCCACATAGTCAGTACTGTATGCAGTTCTGCCTTCCACATCTCAAGAAGGTGGCAATGGAATTAAAGAAGATACAGAGAAGTTCAGTTAAAATGCTTGTGATGACGGAGCAACAGCCTTGTGAAGGGTAACTAAAAAAGCTCATGTTCTTCAATTTGGAGAGAAGGGCAAGGGGAGATGTGATAAGGGTTCCCAAAATCACAGATGTGGTGGATTAACTGAATCTTATTGATATCACAAAGCTCAGAAAGGAATTAGACAACTTCATGGACAGGATGTGCATAAAAGGATACTAGAATGACTATGTGGGAAGGTAACCTTTAATATCTCTGCAACAGTGGATACTGGAGCTCACAAGGAGTATATGTTGGAGTAGTTGCTATATTCACATGCTCTCCCCAGATAGCTTTTCCTCTACTGTTATCCCCACTGGCTTCTCCATTATTAGCCAGGCATTAGCCAAACCCCCGCAAAAATTCCCAAGGAGAAAGATCTACCGGAAATGAAAATAAAGGAGAAAAACAAAACAAAAACCAACAAAACTGAACATACAAAACCAACTCATGGTGCAACAGCTAAAAAAAGGGAAGAAGGGTGAGGGTCAGAGTATCAATAATATATAGGTAGGCAGTGGAGGGAAACACAAATGAAAGCTCCCAGGTGTGCCTACTACTCCTTGTAGAGTTCCAGGGGTGAAGAAATTGAAACAGTTGTCCAAACACTCCCTCCTCCCCATTCTTTTTCCCACTGCCAAAGACACAATACCAGGCTGGATGAATCATTGGTCTTACCCCACAGAGTGTTTCTTATGTTTGAGTGGTCTTTTACTGGAAGCATTCTTGCCCATCCAGAAATTCAAGGAAAGAGTTGTGACAGTTTCTACGGAGGCTTACTTCATAATTTGCTTCTGTGTTAAAGAGCTTTAAGGCACTGTCTCAGTTTCCAACTGGAAGAAGAGTATAGGATATTGGCTAGAAGTAATACATGAAAGAAACTGCTAAGGAAAATATTTAGGATGGAAATATAAATGTAAATCTTCATCTTACATAAAGCAGTGTTTTCTAATAATTTTTTATTTCCAGTGTAGGTGTATAGCACACTTACACTTAGAATAAGTTTGCTTCTTCAAATTTCCTGTTGCAGATTCCTGAGTTCTGGTGACCAAAGGCTGATAACCACTACAGAAAGGATATCATCTTGGAAGTTACTTATTTCTAGATTCTTTCTGCAAAGTAAGAGCAACTCTGCATGGAGACTGACCAGATTATAATACCAATGATGACACTTCAGTGATATTTCTTTCGTAAAGCTGAGTAATTGTACAATGCATAGCTGACTTTGGGGCTTAAGTTTGTAGACAGATGTTCATCTGTTTAGAAAAACAGAGGGAAGACTCTAAATATTACGTATGATCTCCCCCCATAGTGCATCTGTTCAGCTCAGACGTGTAAGGAACTGAGTTGTCATCATTTGTGAAAGTGGGTTACAAACCAAAACAAAATCCCAGACGGTGAGGCTTGCAAGTCAGGAAGTGACTTCTTATTTTTTGTTTCTCCAGGGCCTAAAAATGATAACTATGCTTATCCTTCCTTGTGATTCCTAGGTACTACTGAACTGAAATAATGAATGCATCTGTTTCCCTTTCTCTGATACCAATCAAATGCCACATTGTGAAACAGATCTTCAGCTACAACAAATCACCAGAGGTTCATTAATGACAACTTCATTTACAGGGAGTGAAAATTTGGTGCTGTATTTTGTATGTGAGAAATAAATGAACTTGATTTAAAAAAGGAAAAAAATAAAGATAAAACCAACCCCATACCTCTTGCTCTAACAATTATGCAAATATTTCTGATGAAATAATAGAAGATTGCTGGAGAGCATTTGGTGAAGAGAAGAATTAGATAATTTAACTCGAAAGCTAAATTATGAAGACCCATACGTTAATTATTTTACATCACCCATTTTCCCTGACTAGAGCATGTTTGCCTGATTGTGACAGTACTAACATATAGTCCCATCTCATATCAGTCCTATTCAGAGAGAAAGAAGGAGAGATCCAGTTGAACTATTTTTTCATCTTAATACCACTGACTTATCACTTTATAATTTCAAAATTAAAACTTTTTAAGAGAAACAATACCCCACTGCTAGAATAAAGCTTTCCAAAACATGACCCTGATTCCCATCTGCCTCACCCTTTCTGTAGTAGTTTTGACCCTACAAAACTGTACAATGTTAATCTGGTAAAACACACAATACCTTTGTAAAAGTGTTAGTATCTTCACCAAGATAAAGTGGTAAAAACAGGTTGAATGGGCTGGTTTGCTTCTATTATACACTGAAAAGCACATGCGCGCGTGTGTGCATGTGTACCTATAACTGATACAGTAAAATCTTTGAATACTGAAGTCAACACTGTAAACTGGAGGGGGAAATTCTGCCCTTTTTTCTTCTATTCTTGCCACTCCAGCTCTTCTCTTAGCTCTTCTGTTTCCTTTCTTTCCACCACTTTTATTTTCATTCTCTACATTTGTTTTTCTCTTCCTTTTTCTTACTCCATAGTGATCCTGCTCTTACCCCTTGATATTCTTCAGAGTTGTTTCAAAAGTGGCCAATATACTCATTGTAGCATCTCAAATCAATTTCATCTAGGACCCACCTATGATCACCACTTAATCTGAACACTCCCTTGCCTTATGGTGGCTAAAGAATACAGCATACCTCTGCATGACTGAAGGTATTGTAATCTGGACCTTTGTGTTTGAACAATTATTTTAAAGATTTTTCAGATAAAATCATTTATCATTTGAATTTCAATTTGTGTGAGGATTTTTATGGGCTAAAAATGGTAAAACACAAAGGACAACTGCTTCAGAGGACTAATTGTTCACAGTCTTCACCTTTCTTTCATAGACCAGCATGCATCTTTTGTAATTAAATACGTGGAATTCCTTTGAAATAACAAGAGCCAAGGAGCATATCCCTGACCTGCCTGCCCAGATACACACCCTGGTAAGTGAGATAACCTGGGACTGCTGGAATCCAGAGAGGTTTTTTGTACATGCTACTGGCTAGACTGCTGTTATCAACTTCCTGAGCCCTTTTTCAAAGTATGTATTCTTTTAGTTGAATCACCCCCAAAAGCACCTTGGTTTTACATAAGCTTGAATGCAATTGATTGGCCGTGGGAAGTCCTGAAGCAGGCTGTTGCACAGAGGTTGGAACAGAACTGGTCAGTCTGTGCCTCTGGAGCTGCATGTGTCTCTCTAACTATTTCAATACAACTTCTCTGCTGGCTGGCACAGGGGCTGTGGTATAATCCCTGCTCTCAGAAGCAGTGAGTCAGCAAGAGCCTCCAAAGACAATGTTAGTGGATTTCCCCAGCCTCTGCCTGTCTGTATAGCTGGGCCCCATTCCTCGGGCAAACTGCAAGGCCATGTCGTTACCAGCCTCATTGCTCCAACACAGGATAGGCATCTTGAAGCTTTCAACACAGTGAGGTTTTTTATCAGGCATTTGAAGGGCTGAGGGGATAAGACATTATGGGAAGCCTGTGTCTTTTTTAAAATTGTATCTTTTCTTTAACCACAATAAATTGTCTCCAAGCCATATGATCCTCAAATTACCAATACAAATGGGAATACAATTAATAGTGGTGCCATACTTTTATAGCGAGCATCACATTTTTGTGCCAGGAAGGCATACCTTTTATTCTATTAAACTGAGGAAAAGTCTTCTCCTGGGCCTCGTCTTCTCTATATGGTGCCATCTTCTCAGGAATACATCATCATCAGAGTGCTTTGTCCCAGTGATGTATTACACTAATACATCTGTTGCTTTAATGATATATTAGTGCAATACCTTATCAGAGTGATGCATACAAGTGATCTATTACTGAAAAGGTGGTGCCATTCAGGAATGAAAGAATTCATGAACATATTCAGTATAATTATACAGATAAAAGCCAACATACATTACACTGGAAGCTGCTTTCATAGAACCAAGAACTCCAGTATTATGCTAGCCTGCTTGGTGCCTTTTTCTAGTGCTATTGCACTAGATTTGTAATGCTGAGGTTGTTACATCTCTTTTAAACCTTTTAAATATACTAAGAGCAACTACCATTAACCTTGGGTCACTGTGAAGCAGACGGTATCCAGTTACATTATTTTTACTATATAGTGCTACAGTACTTACTTACCCGTAACCATATGAAACCAAGTAACATTAACCTCCAAATAGTCTGAAGAACATATCATATCTCATTATAATAATCTGGGCTTCATTCTTTGCTTGACTTTAATTATTGTCCATTCTCAAACATTTTCGATTACATGACAGTTGAACTTCAGCCTGTCATTAACTGTAGGCTTCTTTAATCTCAACCTTCATTTTCTTTACCATTACATTTTTTTTCATTACTTTAGCCACTGAAAAGCAGATTAAGTCAGTCTGATTTACACTGGTTTGTGCAGTATATGAATTAAACAATTCAAAACACCATCCAAAGATTGTGGCAAATAAACAAGTTCCACTTTCTGGTTTTTAAACTTTCAGTGTAAAGAAGGGTAGAAAATGTAAACCATTTTTTAATGGGCTGCCCCTTAAAACTCAAAGCTTTTCTCCTCTGCTTTAACTTCTTCACTAATTGGGTGCAAGCTAAAGAGAAAGAGAATTAGAACCACATTTTGGCTTGTGGTAATTTAACTGAGGTATAAAGTATTGATTAGCTTATTTACATTTCCTCTAAATGTGCTTTGCACCAAAGTGTGAAGGATGTTGCTTAGCAGAACACTAAGGCCTCCAACTTGTTTCAGTTATCAGAGCAGGTGTATAGGTATCACTAGAGTTTTTGCCAAATAATCTACACAAAACAATTAGTAACTCAAATGAGAGAGAAAAGGACAGGCAAAGTATATATAGTATGTAAATACTGGAAACGTTTTCCTCTTTAATTTCTCCTCTGTTATTTTCAGCTCCATTACTAATGACAGGTATCATTTTAATTTGCAGAGAGGGCTCCTAAAGCAGCTTTCAGGAATGTGTTTAGGTGGTAAGCTGAATTCACAGAATCTGTAAATGGGGGATGCAGTATGATGGATGCAGAACATCCTACTCTTCACATTCTTACTCCTCCAAGGTCACTCAGCTGATGTGTGACCTTCCAGTTTGGAAACTGCTGACCTAGACCTTTTTCATCCATCACCCCATGGGGGTGGATGAGGGAGCAGAAGTTGTCTTTTACTATAAGAATCTGATGCAAGATGTAAACTGCTTTCACTGGTAGAGTAAGACTGAGCAGAATAGCTTGTGTGTTATGGATCTGCTGAAGGAGAAGGTGGTGTAACAGGTTACAGTAGAGGGTGAGGTGTATGGCTGTGCAAATGAGGCAGCAAGATACAGATCAGAGCAGAACTTCTGGGGCAGCAAGTGGCAGTGGCACTAGTGGGTCCTTTCTGTCAGAAGGCTTATCACAGCCAAAGTAAGCCTTGGCTCGTAAAGTGTCAGGGCCTCGGAGGAGGTTGCTATAGTTGTGTCCCAGTCATCAGCCTGTGAAACACTTTAGTTGGTTCGGGTTTGCTTTTTCTTTTATAATATAATCTCACTTATAATCTGGGAATTCATGGGTAGGACTGTTTTCTGATCCCTGTCAGAGGTGGAAGCAGCCTGCTAGTTCAGCAATGCAGGAAGTATGGCTGCAGTGAGAAGAGAGTCCTTCAGCAAGAAACAGTGACAGATTTATTCTGATTAAAAAACCCAACAAGTTACCTAACTGCAATCTGGGGGGGGGGGCGGTATTGGTTAGGATGGGGGAGAAGGGAAGGGAAAAGACATGCTTTTTATCTGGTCTGAGAAAACCTAAACCTCAGTAGTACCAACCTCCAGGGCCGGGCTAGAAACAATATTTTACCTGAAAGTATAATTGCTCAAGTCACTGTAGTAGGATATTTGCAACCTTTCCTCCTTATCTGAGGAAACTGGTTGTTTCACTGAGTGTTTACTAGGATTCGTCAGTCCTGAAAAACCTACTGGATCTGGCAGATGAAATTTCCAGGGTTGCCCTCGTGGTTGTGGTGGGTCTGGTGTGTTCCTCATAGAGGTCTGATCTGTGACAGAAGCCTTCCAAAGTGTTGCTATCAAACACAGAAACTGTTAATTCTGGTAAACTGCAGATGGGCAAATAGCCCTTTGTGTAACTTGTCTCGTGTGTTGAGCGATCGGAAGGGACAGATTTGGTATACAGACACTAGCAGGTGGGCTTCTGATACTGTTGCTCCTCTTGTGTACATACTTACAGAACTTATGCAATACCTTAACAGCTCATGATACGTAATACACTTAAGGTCACAGCAGTCTAGTAAGGTAGGGAGTGTGTTAGTATTTTCTTAAGAGATGGGAATCTGCATGGAGAAAGAGAATAGAGTGAAATGCTTAGCAGTGTACAACAGCCTACGGGGACTGCAGGCAAAGTGTGTGGTCTCACCCAGCATGGCTTTAATGGTCAATTCAGTCATAGGCAACCCTTGTTTTCTGCTTTAGAGGTGCAGTCTGTGGGGTCTTTGGGGAAGCCATCTGAATGATGAGTGACTGGGTTTTTGTTTTTCTGAGTTAATTTTAGCAACATCTGTTGTCCAATCTTGCTTACTGGGTGCTACACAAATGCTTTTGCTAGCAAGGTGGGTGGCAATTGCTTACATTTGCTCAAACTGTACTGCCACTGAATGTCAAACCATGCCATGTGACTACACTGTGTCAGATTATGTGTGATGACTTAGGACACAACTCTTCTGTTAGTTAAATGGCTTTTCTTTTAGTTAAATGAATGATGGAGTACCTACAAATTTGGCATTTTGAGCTGAGCCAGTCTTTCAGTTCCCTATGCAGTCCACAGAGAGAGCAAGTCTTCTCCAGAGAAATTCATCCTACCTTCCATAGGATGGGAAGAGTTGCCAGCTGGTACTGCTTAAGTCTCTCTTTTGACAACAGCTAACCCAGAAATCTAGGTTATGTTAAATGGATGTCTCTCTATCATAGTGAAGACCAGACAACTTTGCATTTACTATCTACTGCCTAAAACTCCCAAGGCTGGAATCTTCCACTAATTTCAAAAAGCTTTGAAGTAAAATCTGACACTACTGCATGTCTGAAACTTTGTCAACAATGAAGTGGCTGAATTAGCTGTAATTGGTTTGGGAAGGGAGAACTGTGAGATGACACACCACTCTGAGAGCTTACCTGTGTTCCTCTGGTACAGGCTGCTATCTACACAGCACAGTCCCTGGCAAAAGTTTAATGTATCAACCTATGTTTTGTGTTTCTTAAAATAAAGCCCCTAAAACAATAGGGTTGCAAATCTGAACTGGAAAATGGTAAGGTAGAAAGTGAAATCAACAGAAGCAGGCATCAGAAATGGATCAGTAACCACTTAATTTGGATCAGGAGCAGCTAGCTGAGTTTGCCTATGTCTTAACACCTGGACTGCAAAATGCAGAGGCTAAGGCAAAGGTATATGATTAATTCTGCTGACTCTGTTATGGGAAAATTGACTTCTGGCAAAGAGATGGAAAAAGCAGTTGGGAACAGTAAAGTGGCTCAAGCTTTGGAACACTTTGCTAGAATTATCAGCTTCTGTAAGCAAAAACCCCTGCTATGAGCAGATAAGTGAGGGTTTTGTCATTGATTGAATTGGGACCAGGATTTCACTGTAATTGCTAATTATGGCAAATGTGCAACAGTTGTGCTGCTGCTTAGAGCTGAACAGTTTACTTCTGGGGTTCTGTTTTTGTCATTGATAGAAGCTGGTTCCAGCCCTCTCCCAGCTTTTCAGCATGGGAAGCAGGGCTCATAAATCCCTGTGCTACTTACTTCTAAAATGCATGATTTAACAAGTAGGATTTGGCTGATGAGGATGGATGCATGGAAGGATCATTCAAGCAAATGAATGGTGAGTTCTTTCCTCTTCAGGCCCTTAGGCTCTGCTTGCTGACTTCAGTGCATTAAATGACTGCATAAACTATTTTTGGATACATACTCAGGTGCAATAGAAAAATCTGATTAAAAAGAAGGTAACTTCTTGTAGCAGAATAAGGGGTTTTCTGTAAGATGCCAGTACTGTGTCAATGATAATACAAGCATTCTTATCTCATGTTGATGTGATAGCTGTTTCTGTTTAGAGATATTTCTTGAGGAGGTTTGGGTTTGGGGGGTTTATTGTTTTGGTTTTGTTTGTTTGTTTGTTTGTTGTTGTTGTTGTTTTTTACCAGAATAACTGTCTGGTTTCCAGTCTAATTGGTCTCTAGAGAACTACAGTAGTCAGTAAAGATATATGGGCCTAGAAAACACGTTCAAAGAACTGGTGGCTTCATCAGGACAACTGAAGGAAGTTTAAGGAAAAGCTGATTTTTATTTGGAAAATAATACTGTTTGGAAAAAGCAAGCAGATAATTGTTAATTTATCACAAGTCAGTTTTCTCCAGCAGTGTTGACTTAGCTGACCAGCTGAATACCCCAAACCAAGTTATATATGTACCAGCTAGTGGGGCCATCCTCTAAAGCAGAACAAGAAGGTACTTGGTAGGATTTCAACATCAGGATTTGATCCACCTTTTTCTCCATCACCCACTCCTATAAGAAAAAAAAAAAAAAAAGAAAGAATGCTGAGGTGTTCCACAAAAGAAAAGGAAAATGATACTTTGATCAGCTGCATATGTAAGTCTTGGTTACTGGGTAAGCAAGATGGCCACCTGAGTCTGTGTTGAAATGACAACTGGTATACATTGTCTTCTGGCCTGCCTGGCTTCCTTTGGAAGGAAACCCTGATGCATGGAGAGGCAGGGAGCTTGGTGACCAGGACAACTTCCCTGCACTGAAGATGCAATCTGAGACAGTCTGACAAGAAGGTACCTGAAGACTAACAGCACAATCCTGTTATTTTAGCTCTTTAGCCCTTGTTCTATATCTTTACAGGGTATTTCCACCAAACACCCAGGCAAGGTTCTCCTCTTCTGCAGAAATAAACTAAACTATTGAAAGTGATGGTGGGGAAGATACAGTGAACTGCCCACACTTCTATCTGCCCGAAGTGTGTTCAGGGACTAGAGTTCAACAGCGTTCCAAAAAGAAACAAAACAACACCCAACCAAAGAAATCTGCTCAGCCTCTTTCCCTCCCAGCCTAACCTTACCTACATGTAATATTGCAATTAGGGAAAAAAGCCTCAGCTGCTATTCAGCTCTGGAAGAACCTAAAGTTAGATTTCACTGTTAGAAGCTTCCTAACTTCAAACTGAGACTGAACCATAGTTTGACCAGTGAGTGTAGTTTAGCCTGATCTGAATCAAGAAACATGTCCACCAGCCTCCACTGATAAAGGCAGTGGTATGTGATAGACCTGCTCAGAAAAGGCATTGATTGCTGCTGTTTTCTTCCAGAACAAAGGAGCAGAGGAGAAGGATTGAAGCTATAAGAAGAGCTGTTGACACACAGCCTTTCATACTGTGGACCACTGGTTAGCGAACTCTAGGATAAAGGTGAGCCAAGTTCAGTTTCTTTCTTGAAGGAACTGTTTGCAGCTTATAACATGCTTTATAAAGTATGTCTGTATTACCTGGTATTTAGCTATGTCAGCTAGAGAAACTTGTTCTATCATTTTCTACTAGCCCTAGGCAGCTGCTCAGTGTGTGGTTTGATCACAGATCTGGTTCTAAGGCACCTCCAGTCACAAGCTATATAGGGAATTCAGCAGCCTAACACAATTCTGGATTCTCTCCTAGAGGTGAGACTACGAAAAGACCCATTTTCTGAACCAGTTTTTCTGTATTTGTGTACTCTGATGCTTCTCACATTCAAATGTTGACTGCATCAGCGGTGTTATTGCTATGACCAATTTAATAAAATCAGATGAACAAGCAGAGGGTGCAGACCTGAGGAAATTGCTCCCTGTTTGCAGTGGTAAAAGTAGCAATTTTCTAGATGCACAGTAAATGGCCATCAAAAAGATAATAAAATTGGTATAATTAAGAAAGGTTAATAATGACAACTGAAAACTTAGCTGTTGAATCCAGCATGTGTTGGCATATTTGGAGTGATTTCTTTATTTCCAGTGTGGATCCTCCTGTTCAGAACTTTGAAACCCCACTGACTATCTCAGGCTATTGAGTTACAATAGCATAATGAGGTAGCTCACTGCATGCATTTCTTATCTCTGGCATATTTCAAGTGAAACAAAGGTATTTTAGTCTAACACATTGTACTTGCCATTTTATTAGCCTAAGAGGGTGCACAAGAGCAGTTAGAGAAGCTCAGTTGATGAGCAGCAACTTTTTAAGCCACAGTATCTGTATCCTAATTTTTGTGTCTATTTTTCTGATGCCGCTATGGAGCATGTGCATTTTGGCTCTCCACGCTTTCCCGATGGGTAGTAACATTCCTGAATATCTTGTGAAGAAAAGGTTTGGGATAGAAATTGCAGTTCTAAAAAACTTTTTTTGGCAGTTGGATGGTTAACAGCATTAGCATTTACACATTTGACTGGTTTGAGATTAGCAGGTGAAATTCATAACCCCTCTAGAGTCTCATTCTCATCTTTGTGTTAATTCACAACTTCTGTGTTAATAACAAGCAGTTCCACAGCTAAACCCACATGAAAATGGCCCAAGTGAAAGCTGCTGCTAAAGTCCATTGGCAGATCTTACATGATATTGGACTAGGGTAGCTTGTGAGGTGGGGAGGTGTTAAAAGACAGAAAAGGGCCCTGGTTCACCAAGAATCTAGTGGAGTTTGTGAGGAGATTTTAAAAGTGCAGGTGGACATGCTGTTCTACTATGTCATTTTCTTTAAAACATTGCTACTCATGTTCTAGTTTTAATTAGGAAAAAGGAAAAAGTTGGCTGCTAAACATCTTTGAGCACATGGTGAGGCACAAACCGAGGCACGCAAATAAACTACCGACCAGCTTGGGTTATTTTTGAGATGGCATTGATCAATTCTCCCAAGCTTTGATGACAAGGGTTTGTCATCATGTCCCTGTCCGGGTGTGTCTGTCCCATCCCCCCCTTGCTGTGTTAATTACTCAAAAGCTGGCATTACTCCATTTCTACAGTGGTAGCTTAAAGGCCTGCTTGAAATTCTGCTTTAGTCATTTAATTTTTAGTGATTCAGCATATTTAAGTAGCAGAAATAGTAATACAACTGACTGTTGCATGTTTCCAGGGGAGTTGTTGGTTTCTTGGGATTTTTTTTGTTACTGTTTTTTTAATTGTGCTTTTTTAAAAAACACAAAGGAAAAAAACCCACTTCCTTTGAATGGAGCTTGGTTCCATCAAAACCATGTTAAGAATCACTTTGTCAGAACCAGAGAGAAGAACAGAAGAGATGAAATCTAAAGCTAGAGCTGGAATCGTCCCAGCAGCCTCTTAATATCCCCATACAACGGGGCACATCCGTAACTCGCTCCAACAGACCCTGCTCACTGTGTGTCAGCGGGATGACTTACTGCACCTTTCTCCCTGAACGTTCAGGTACGGCTCCCGTTGGGCTCTCCCTCCAGCGGAGAGCACAAGGTGCCCCAGACTGCCCACACCCCACTGCCCTCCCGCGGCGCCTGCGCTCGGGAAGCGCCGGGCACGGTGCCGGCCGCGGGGCTCTGGGGTCGGGTCACGGGGGGGAGGCCGCCAGCGCCCCGGTGCGGCCCGGCGGCCCAGCCGAGCATGCCAGGGAGGCCCGCGGTGGCGGGGCGGGGCGGGGCGGGGGAGAGAAAAGACTAGAGGGGCGCTTGCAGCCGCTCCTGGCTTAAAGGCAGAAGCAGGCGGGCTGCCTGCTGCCGAGCCGGAAGGGCTCCCCTCCAGCCTCGGGAAGGGGACCTGCAGAGCCGAAGGAGGGCTTTGGAAGAATGGGTGATGCTGTTAGGTGCGCTGTCTCTTCTCACCTGGTGCCGGTTTCCTTCAGCTCAAATGCAGCAAAAAGATGTGGTGGGTTTTAAAAGGTAGCTGTGTTTTGGACTGATTGAATGATGAGCTTGGCCCTGCTTAGTAAAATGTAAAAACTGCTTAAATTCGTGCAGGATTTTTATTTCTGCATCCACAAACAGGTCACTGTCTTAATTATTCTTAACCTTATCACTAGGAAACAAGTATTGGCCTATAACCTAATCTCTCTGCATTCATGACTTTGTCATCCTCTGCATGTTGACACAGCCTTTTCCCTCAGCAGACTTTCTCCCTTTTATGAGAAGTATTTCAAATCCAGGAGCTAGGATTTTACCTGTCTTAAAGGACAGGTGAGCAAGGCCTGAAGAGTTCTCTGGCTTGTGGTTGTGGGCCAAGAAGGAAATGCCTCCACTCCAAGTGTCTGCAAGTATAGCTGCCTCGGTCTGCGGTCTGAGGAGGTATAGCCCCTTAGGACAGGGCTGCAGAGGACCTTTAAGGTTTATGTAGTACTCCCCCCCCCCCCCACGACAAAATTGCATTGCTACTTTGATATAAGATGGCCTTAACTGGGCCGATAAAAACCCAATGCTTTGTATACAAGGAGCCGCCAAAAAGAGTAAGAGAGTAGTATCGGAAGCCTCACTGAGAACTGTGTCACTGAGATAATGGGAAGCTTTAACAGGGCCTGGAGAAGAGCAATTTGCCAGAGAAGGTCAGTTTGAAAAGTATAGGCAGCCCATTTTAAAAGATTGGACAGAGATACTCCAGGAAGTTTTTGAAGACAGTAATTTGTAGATGGGAGAGTTTGGTAAGGATGGTTGATTTTTAGAAGCAAATTAAGCTAGAAGCTTTGAATTAGATAAGATCAGAGGAAGAATATAAAGTTTAGATGTTCATGTAGTTTAGAAGAATGTCTGGGTCAGGATGAAGGCAGGGTTGTGCCACAGCTGTAAAGATGGATGAAAGAGGGGAGGATAAGGCCACAGTTCAGAGGTCACTTTGGGAAGAAAAAAGGGCTCCTGTGCTTCAAAGGTTTACAAGTTAGGTATTTTCTTTTATTACATGGTGGTATGACAATTTCAGTCAGCTGAAATGTTTGAGTTCTCAAGCCAGCAAGTGTAAAGTCTTTGCTTGCAACCTAAAACATCTTTATCTTTTTATCATCTTTTGGGGGTTTTGGGGTGGGTTGTGGATGATAGTTTAATTTTGTTCTTGTTTTGTATTTTAGAACTTGGAGTATCTAGCTCTAGGAAAGATATTGGACCTTATTCTTTTTAGTAATATATAGGCACTGAGAGCACAAAGCAGAACCTTTGATAAAAGACCATGTCTTGTGAACGTTTCCAACAATGTCAGCAATGGAGGATGTCAGTTTTAATATTTTTTATAGTGTGATGAGCTCTCAACATTTTTAATAAGTTGATTAAAAGCTGCGGAAGGGAGGGAAGTAGGTGGGGGTCAGACTTGACCCATCTTCCTTGATTTAGCGTACCCAAGTGGGCAGCAGATGTAATCATGTCTGATGTTCTATCACAGCTGTGGAGCTGTGGGTTGTATGAATCATATAAACCTGATAAGCCCTGAACAGGAGAGTTCCTGTCATATTTTCTGCATTACTCCTCTACACAGAGCAGACTTTCTTTTTTCACACTAGAAGATCAGAAAGATGTTCCACACTTTATTCCTAATCTCAGCTTGGCTGTAGTACCAATACTGAATACTGTTTTCTCTTGGAAAGCTGCACTAGAGTACCTTCTTGGCCCTCTTCCCAATTGTTTCGCTACTCAGATGATGATTTTAAAAGCCACTAAGTTTGCTTTATTTCCCCCCATGTAAATGAAAGCATCCCAGTACCTCTCTCCTGAGTTGATCTGCTACAGCTCTTGTAAAGTTTGTGTTTTGTTTCTGATGGCTACTGTTCCTGACTCTTTGCAGTAGGCGCTACCTAACTTAGTGGTTATTGAGACCAAAAAAGCTTGTTTTTTCATCAGTTGCCATTCAGTACATTGGAATGAATAAAACCTCCCAAATATAGTAAAGATTTTCAAGAAAACCCAACAAGCACATTTTAAATCAGTTAGGCCTTGCACAAGTCAACTGTCTTGCTGGACCTCTTCTCTAATAGCCGTTTACTTTGATTTTTCCTTTTTTTTCCTGTTTGATGGCCTTCACAGGTCTAAGTGGGAAATCCATACCTTCTCTGGGCAGGCAGGGACTACTTACTGTTCAGGCTCCTGTCAGATTCCATTGACTTGGCTCATGCAAAACCCTCCATGTGTAGAAAATACGCTTTGCTTTTCTCTTCTACCCTTTATTCTTTAATACAAAATTGTGGGACATATACAAAGGGATAAAAAAATGCTGTCTAATATATTATTCAATTTTCGGACCCTCAGTTCTTCATTCATACATTTGGTTTTCTTGGAGGGAAGCATGCAGACGGGCAAAACCCCTGCCCTACAGCTCTTTTATTTTGCTTGTTAGTTGCTCCAACTGGGGGAAAAGAGGTGTGCGAGAGCCTGTTGCACGGGGCCATTACTCCCTCTGCAGGCAAGAGCATGCAACTTTGGTGTGGAGAGCCGCCATGACCACGCAGTACTGAG